ACAAAGATCGAGGAAAAGGACAGACTATCAAAAGCAGCCAGAGAAAGAAAAAAGATCACATACAAAGGAAAACCCATCAGGCTATCATCAGACTTCTCAAGAGAAACCTTACAGGCCAGAAGAAGTGGCATGATGTATTTAATGCAATGAAGCAGATGGGCCTCCAACCATAAATATTCCATCGAGCAAGATTATCATTTAAATTTGAAGCAGGGATTAAACAATTTCTAAATAAGCAAAAGTTGAGGGAATTTACCTCCCACAAACCATTTCTACACTGTATTTTGGAGGGACTGTTATAGATGGAAGTGCTTCTAAGGCTAAATAGCTGTCAACAGAGATAATAAAACCATAGTAAAGGAAGTAGACCAATTAATTACTAAGCAAATGCAAAATTAAATGAAATACCCACAAAGTAAGTCAAGGGGAACAAAAGAGTACACAATATGACATCTAATATATAGAGTGGAGGAAGAAGAACAAGAAGGGAGGGAAAAAAAAAGAACCTTTAGACTGTGTTTGAACTAAGATTCTAAGTGAGTTAAGTTAGACTGTTAGATAGTAAAGAAGCTAGCCTTGAACCTTTGGTAACCACAAATTTAAAGCCTGCAATGGCAATAAGTACATTATCTAATGATAATCACCTTAAATGTGAATGGTCTGAATGTACCAATCAAAAGACACAGAGTCACTGAATAGATAAAAAAACAAGACCCATCTATATGTTGCCTGCAAGAGACTCACTTCAAACCCAAAGACATAAACAGATGAAAAGTGAAGGGATGCAAAAAGATATTTCATGCAAATAATAGGGAGAAAAAAAGCAGGAGTTACAGTACTTGTATAACACAAAACAGACTTCAAAACAAAGAACGTAACAAGAGACAAAGAAGGACACTACATAATGATAAAGGGGTCAGTCCAACACGACAATATAACCATTATAAATATCTATGCACACAACATAGGAGCACCTACATATGAAAAACAAATACTAACAGAATTAAAGTGGAAACAGAATGCAATTCATTCATTTTAGGAAACTTCAACACAACACTCACTCCAAAGGACAGATCCACCAGACAGAAAATAAGTAAGGTGACAGAGGCACTGAACAACACATCACATGGACCTAACAGACATCTACAGAACACTCCAGTGAAAAGCAGTAGGATACACATTCTTCTCAAGTGCACATAGAATATTTGCAAGAATACATCATATACTAGGCCACAGAAAGAGCCTCAGTAAATTCAGAAGAATTGAAATTGTACCAACCAGCTCTTCAGACAACAAAGGTATGAAACTAGAAATAAATTAAGCAAAGAAAACAAAACAGCCCACAAACACATGGAGGTTTAACAACATGCTCCTAAATCCTCAATGGATCAGAGACCAAATAAAAACAGAGATCAAGCAATATATGGAGACAAATGACAACCATAACTCAACACTGCAAAATCTGTGGGATGCAGTGAAGGCCATGCTAAGAGGAAAGTATATTGTAATACAGGCTCACCTCAAGAAAGAAGAACAAACCCAAATGAACATTGAAAACTAACGATTAATGAAACTAGAAAAAGAACAAATGAGGCCCAAAGTAAGTAGAAAGAGGGACATAATAAAGATCAGAGCAGAAATAAATAAAGTTGAAAAGAATAAAACAATAGAAAGAATCAATGAAAGCAGGAGCTTGTTCTTTGAGAAAATAAACAAAATAGATAAACCCCTAGCCAGTCTTACCAAAAAAAAGAGTCTACACACACACAAACAGAATCAGAAATGAGAAAGGAAAAATCACTATGGACACCACTGAAACACAAAGAATTATGAGAGAATACTATGAAAAATTATATCGTAACAAATTGGATAACCTAGAACAAATGGACAACTTTCTAGAAAAATACCTTTCCAAGACTGACCTAGGAAGAAACAGAAAATCTGACCAGACCAATTACCAGAAACAAAATTGAATTGATAATCAAAAACTCCCTAAGAACAAAACTCCTGTACCAGATGGCTTCACTGATGAATTTTATCAAACATTTAGTGAAGACCTAATACCCATCCTCCTTAAGGTTTTCCAAAAAGTAGAAGAGGAGACAATATTTCTAAACTCATTCTATGAGGCCAGCATCACTCTAATAATACCAAAACCAGGCAAAGACACCACAAAAAAAGAAAAGTACAGAACAATAACCCTGATGAACACAGATGTAAAAATACTCAACAAAATATTAGCAAACTGTATACAAAAATATATAAAAAAAGATCACCCATCATGATCAAGTTGGATTTATTCCAGAGATGCAAGGATGGTACAATATTAAAAAACCTATCAACATCATCCACCACATAACAAAAGAAGGACAAAAATCACATGACTATCTCCATACATGCTGAGAAAGCATTTGACAAAATTCAACATCCATTCATGATAAAAAACTCTCAACAAAATGGTTATAGAGGTATGTACCTCAACATAATAAGGGCCACATACGACAAATCCACAGCCAACATCATACTTAACAGTGAAAAATTGAAAGCTTTTCCCTCTTAGATGAGGAACAGACAAGAATGCCCACTCACACCACTTTTACTGAACATAATACTGCAGTGCTTAGCCACGGCAATCAGACAACACAAATAAATAAAAGGCATCCAGACTGGTAAAGAAGAAGTTAAACTGTCACTATTTGCTGACGACATGATGTTGTACATAAAAAATCCTAAAGAATCCACCCCAAAACTATTAGAATATCTAAGTTCAACAAAGCTGCAGGATACAAAATCAATACACAGAAATCTGTGGCAATCCTATATACTAATGATGAACTAGAAGAAACAGAAATCAGGAAAACAATTCCATTCACAATTGCATCAAAAAGAATACAATACCTAGGAATAAACCTAACCAAGGAAGTGAAAGACCTATATCCTGAAAACTACAAGACACTCATGAGAGAAATTAAAGAAGACACCAATAAACGGAAATACATCCCATGCTCATGGGTAGGAAGAATTAATATTGTCAAAATGGCCATCCTGCCTAATGCAATCCCTACCAAAATACTGACGGCATTCATCAACAAACTAGAACAAATAGCCACCCGATCGTATGGGACAATATATTTGTAATGACATATCCAATAAGTGGTTAACATCCAAGATATATAAAGAACTCACATGCCTCAACACCCAAAATGCAAATAACCTGATTAAAAAATGGGAGGAGGATAGGAACAGACACTTCTCCAAAGAAGAAATTCAGATGGCCAAGAGGCACATGAAAAGATGCTCCACATGGCTAACCATCAGGGAAATGCAAATTAAAGCCACAATGAGATACCACTTCATACCAGTTAGATGGCCAAGATTGAAAAAACTAGGAACAACAAATGCTGACAAGGATGTGGAGAAAGGAGAACCTCCTTCACTGCTGGTGGGAATGTAAATTAGTTCAGCCATTGTGGGAAGCAACATGGAGGTTCCTCAAAAACTAAAAATAGAAATACCATTTGACCCAGGAATTCCACTCCTAGGAATTTACCCAAAGAAAACAAGATCACAGATTCAAAAAGACATATGCACCCCTATGTTTATTGCAGCACTATTTACAATAGCCAAGAAATTTATCCATCAGTAGATGAATGGATAAAGAAGATGTGGTACATATACACAGTGGAATATAATTCAGCCATGAGAGGAAACAAATTGTACCATTTGCAACACCATGGATGAAGCTAGAGGGCATTCTGCTCAGTGAAATAAGTTAGGCGGAGAAAGAGAAGTACCAAATGATTTCACTCATTTGTGGAATGTATCAACAAAGCAAATCGGAAGGAAGAAAACAGCAGCATACTTACAGACTCTAAGAAGTGACTAGCAGTTACCAAAGGGAAGGGATAGGAAGGGTTGATGGGGAAGGAGGGAGAAGGCGATTAAGGGGCATTATGATTAACACACATAATATAGGGGGGTCACAGTGAAGGTGATATAGTACACAGAAGAGAATTAGTGACTGTAGGATCTTACTATGCTAATGGACAATAACTGCTGGTGGGTGTGTGAGGGGGACTGGATAATATGGGTGAATGTAGCAACTACAATGTTGCTCATGTGAGACCTTCATAAGATTGTACATTAATGATACCTTAGTGAAAAAAAAAAAAAAAGAAAAAGAAAAAGAAGAAAAGGACCTGAGTGGGAATGTGGGTGTTAACTTTTTCTATGAAAACGACCCCTCTCTGGTTCTCTAGCATACTTGAGGTTCACAGCGAACCTACGCCTCCCAGTTTGCAAACTGTCCCATTTTTTCTTTTTTTTTTTTTGCAGTGAAGTTCTCTACTGAACTTCCGGTATTACAAAGAAATTTATTAAAAGTATATTAAATAAAAATTCTCTGGAAACAATGAAAAGGCTTCCTCTGTAACAGTGAAAAGAGAACAAAAAAGATGTGCACAGTACTGTGGTCTTCAGCCTAGATGAAACTTTGTCCAAATAAATGTTCATTTCTAACCTGTCCTTAGGTGATCCTCAAACATCAACACTGGCATATGGTGGGTTCTTCTGCCAATGTACAACAGGTACACAATGAATACATTACAATATAGTGTACCTAAACAGCAGGGCAATCCAAGATACAGTAAAATCAAAAGAATTCCTCTCAAATTCAGTAGGAATAGTGCTGGATTTGTAGTTACAGTGATAAAAATGAACAGAATTGTAAAAATTATCTACTTCAATTCTCTCACTTCAAGATAAGACAGAAACCAAGAGAGATCAAATTATACTTGTCAAAAATGACATGAATGCACACAGTTGGCAAAACCCACCTATTATGTCCTCAAGAAAGCTACAATGAAAAAAACCTTTTAAAACATTTTATTTGAAACTTAACATTAGTCACATGTGACTAGCATGGAGCTAAAGAACACAATGCCTCTTTAAAGACATCATTTTCCATGTGCCAAAGGCTCTACAAGTAGAAACATACTTACTTCGTCAGCCTTTCAATAGTCTGCTTGTGGACATCATTATGGGTTTGGGAAAGCACAGCTTCATGCTGAGCACATTTCAAACACAGACCACCAACACGGTTAGAAATATTAGCAGCAAGAAGAGACTCTTTGTGTTTTAGTTGCTCTTTAAGATCTTCACAGTTTTTCTGATAGTCAGCTAACTCTTTCCTAAAAAGAAGGGAAAAACAGTTTCAACAAATGGCCAGGCAAAAGCACACTACTTCCAAATGTCTCATCATAGTGATAATGACTACCATCGTTTACTAGTGTTTACCTTATGAGGTGTTTTAGGTACAATATCTAAGTAATTCTTGCCACAATCCTGAAACATAGATGTGATTACCTGACAGTTTGAATAAAATGACTTAATTATATTAAATAATTAGCCCAAGTTCTCATGTGACATTTTTTTTGAGCATGAACCAAGAGTTTATTTTGCAACTACTGTCATTATTATGATTTTCACATAATTATTTAAAAGAAACTACCAATTCTTTTTCAAGAATACA